TTGAAGCCTTAAGGCTCCAAAGAGATCGCCATAAATAAAATAAAATTAAATGAAGTCAGTTAAATATCCGCGCCTTGAGTCACTCACCTGTGATTGCACTGTTGACAAGCGAAGCACTCCAAGTGATAAACGTTGGTTCTCGCGCGCATCACCATCTCGAACGCCGGAATCACCTTGCTGCAGGCCGCGCAGTGGCCGGTGTTTCCGAAGAGCCTGTCGAACAGACGAGGGAGAGACGAACGTGAACCGTCTGTCCTCGTTATCCCGGATTTTCCGAACGATCGCTCACCCGCGATACAATAACGCGACGCGACGTCTCCTGCGACCTTTCCATTCGCCATTGAAATCGGCGACACGCTTGCTCGGCAGAGCGTCGCGATTAACGTTATTGCAGTAAAATATCACCGCATTTTTCCCGACGAGACCGAGTTTCGCAAAAAGTCGTGTTCTTCTTCGATTACGAGAACGAGCGGGGAACTTTTGTCGGCGCGCACAGCGGGAGCCAATAAGCTTACGGCCACGGATATGCCGTCTTCAAATATTGGGCCATTAATAAAGACCACAATGTTTCCGACAGTGCGTGCTTCTCGCGCGCGGACGCGCCACCTGCGCGCATTCCCTCGGGACTTTGTAATCTCAACACGGTTTATTTGCTCTCGCTTGTTTATACGGGATGTGGCTGTATTCAATAAGGGAAACTCATCTGTAAAATTCGATTTGTTGCCGCCTCCGCTGTTCTCCTCCTCCTCCTCGCGATTTTCTCGCCCCCTCGCCGAAAGATCGCGTTCCTCGTCTCGCTCTGGCAACCTGTCTGCGTCTGTCGACGTTTATTGACCCGTCACGGCGCGATACTATCGAATCTGTGAACTGCGAACTCGCCGGGAAGATTTCGCGACGCGCAAGGTATCGGGGGCGATCGATCGGGATTGTTTGTCGGGTACATACCGCAGATAGTCTCTTTTGCAGAGGATGAGATTGGCCTTCGTGTAGAGCGTCGAGCCGACCTCGCCGAGTCTACAGTCGCAGCACCCGCATTTCAGGCAATCTTCGTGCCAGTACATATCCAACGCCTTCAGAAGGTACCTGGTAGAAGGACGACATGATAATTAGTTTGGAAAAATTCATTTTAAGACGTTCGAGATCGGTTGTGTAAGATAACGTGTCGCGTACACGCGACTAATCTACGAGTTCTTTTCACGAACGCTGACGTAGTCTGCGCTGCGAGGTGAACGTACGTTAATTAATATCCCGACTTTTAATTATAATCGTCGCGCGGCTTTAATCTCGCGACTTTTAGACAACGCGCTTACGGTGTCCTCACTCGAGGAAAAGTTGTGATTTTACATTAATTTATAAGTAGTTATTTTGAGGCGTCTCATTAACAATTAGTGAACGCCATACTTGAAAATTTTATCGACAAGATATCGACTTTTATTCTGCAATGTTTTGCCGTATTGGTTGCACAGAATTGCAAATGCTTTTACATAATTAAAATACGTGTTAAAATGAATTGGAGCATTGCTCAATATGTAACGAAAATAGTAGAAAATTGATATCACGAGCTATCAGTTGACGTAAACATTGAGCTGATACAAAAATTCTGCAGCTTGCACATACCGTTCAAGGAAATCTCAAAAAACTTTTACAATTAAAGGAATTATTGGAAGCTTAAAATATACGTAAAGTTTATAGAAAGATTTCTATATATGCATAGTCATATTTCCCGCAAAAAATATGATAAAGCAGCACACATTTATACAAGATCTATATGTGCCAGAAATATGAAAAGAGTAGCGTAATCGTATTAATGTTTATTTGACATGTCCTTTTAACAATTTTAACGCCTCTACGTCATCGACTTTTTTGGAACACATCATCCACTTTGGCGTCATTCCCTTAAAAAGGAGAACTTATTTAAGGATGATTTAATTTTCGATCGTTTCAACAGACCACACATACACACACATATTTGAATTTAATCTTTATTATTAATTTCGGGGCATGCAATGTATTATTTGCAATTCAATTACGTAATCTATCAATTATGTAGTTCGCTCAACGAGATTTGCAAGATTAATGTAAGACCAAAATTTCGAAACACGCGTATAATCGTCTCGCAATTAACGATAATATGGAAATATATTTAACCTAGTTCGTGCGTGCGACGACGCAGGCTCTCCCTCCTCCCGCGAAAAAAATGAAGACAGAAAAGAGAAGACAGACGTTATGATCGACCGTTAAGTCCTTACGGCCAGCGTTCTTTTAGGCTAGGTACCTGGCCACAGGTAGGGGTATAAAACATACATACACGAAGCGTCGTGTCACGCAACGAAGCGGAGCACTCACCTCTCTGTAATCGCCTTTCCGCAACCCGCGCATTCTTGCTGAGTGGCCCCGTTCTTGCCCGGCTCGCTCTTGCTCCCATCCATAGTCATTTTATCGTCTGCAACATGGTACAGAAATGCCGCCTTAATCGCCACACGGAGACTTCGTCGCGCCTCGTAAATTCCGCGCCGAGCGCGCATTCATTTGGACTCGCGGATTCTAGGGAGTAAAATGCAACGAAGGCATGCGCACTTGACATTCTTATTCTAATACTATCTCAACGAGTCAAAAATTTTTTACCCTACTTTCGACCTCAATATTCCATTTAACACCTACTTTGATACACAGAAGTCTATGTTAACCTCTTTTGATTCCATTTAACTTGCAGCTTTGCAGTAGAGGTTCTCTCAAGTGGTATTTTGTTCTCTCTCTCTCTCTCTCTCTCTCTCTCTCTCTCTCTCTCTCTC